TTTTCTATAGTCAAGATTTTAGTAGTTAACACAGCAACTTTCTAGCTGTTGTCTTTTTCTTTTGACAGGTTGAAAAGGAAGGGGAAAGGGAAAAGAAAATATCAAGGAGACTCGGCGCCTGTAGCTCAGCAGTTAGGGCACCAGCCACCTATACTGGGGCTAGTGTGTTCAAACTCGGCCTGGGGCTGCTAAACAACAATGACAATTACAGCAACAACAAAAAATAGCTGGTGTTGTGGCAGGCACCTGTTGTCACAGCTACTTCGGAGGCTGAGGCAAAAGAATTGCTTAAACCCAAGAGTTTGAAGTTGCTGTGAGCTGTGATGCCACAGCTCTCTACCGAGGGTAACAAAGTGAGACTCTATCTCAAAAAAAAGAAAGAAAGAAAGAAAAGAAACAGAAAATATGAAGGAACTTAAGCCCTTTCCCAAGAGATTTAGAGATTTGTTTTGGATTCATAGATTTTTATGCCACCAACACATTGAGAAGTAGGATTATTCTTCTCTTTAATATTTACTTCCCCCTTTCCATCCCAACTCTCTCTTTTTCCAAAACTCAGGAATGGCTGACTCCCTGTGTGAAGGTGTTTTCAATGATCTTTATATAGACTGAGTTGAAAGACTGCCTTGGAGATCAGAGAAAGGATTCTGGGCCTGCTGGCACTCCAGTGTGGCTGCAATCAAAGGACAAAATTAGCATCAGGCTATACTTTACTTGCTCTCTAGGTGACCTTCCTAGGGCTACCTGGGAGATCTTGTCTCAGTCTGCAAACTCCTTCTAGGGTAAGGTCAGTGGGTGGCCCAGAACAGCATCTGCAAATAGGTAATTACGTTCGATGATGATGAAGATAATATTAGGTATTTGGGGGATTTATACAAATGGGGAATAGCCCTTGAAGAGCCTCTCCAGCTAGCTTCTCAACAACCCCAGTTCCTGTAGCACAGGAGAGTGAAGGTGTTCAAACACTGCCTCAGGCTGAGGCTAAGGAAAGCTCTCAGGTGAAAGGGAGTGCAGTATATTCCTGCCTGCTGTGTTCATGCTTGAGTTTCTCTGCCTCTCTATGATCTGTACACAGAGCATGGGTTTGAATTGTTCAGGTCCACTTATATGTGGATTTTTTTTGAGACAGTTTCACTTTGTCACCCTCAATAGAGTGCCATGGCATCACACCTCGTAGCAACCTCCAACTCTTGGGCTTAAGCGATTCTCTTGCCTCAGCATCCTGAGTAGCTGGGACTCCAGGCACTTGCCATAATGCCTAGCTATTTTTAGAGATGGGGGTCTCACACTTGCTCAGGCTGGTCTGGAACCTGTGAGCTCAGGCAATCCACCCACCTTAGCCTCTACATTGCTGGGATTACAGGGGTCAGCCACTGTGCCTGGCCTATATGTGGATTTTTAAAACAAAAGTTACACCCCTGGGCAGCGCCTGTGGCTCAGTAAGTAGGGCGCTGGCCCCATATACCTAGGGTGGCTGGTTCAAACCTGGCCCTGGCCGAACTGCAACAAAAAATAGGTGGGTGTTGTGACAGGTGCCTGCAGTCCCAGCTACTCGGGAGGCTGAGGCAAGAGAATCACCTAAGCCTAAGAGCTGGAGGTTGCTGTGAGCTGTGATGCCACAACACTCTACTGAGGGTAACAAAGTGAAACTCTTAAAAAAAAAAAAAGTTACACCTCCTTATGCATGTCCCTCCTACCTTCTCTTCCACATTCTCCACTTCTACTTCTGCCACTGCAAGCCAGCAAGACAGACCTCCTCTTCCTTGGCCTACTTAGTGTGAAGACCACAAGATAAGACCCTTAAGATCCACTTCCACTTAATGAAGAATAAATATATTTTCTCTTCCTTATGATTATCTTTTCTTTCTTTTCTTTTCTTTTTTTTTCTTTTTTTTGAGACAGAGTCTCTCTTAAAGTGCCATGACCTTAGCCTAGCTCACAGCAACCTCAAATTCCTGGGGTCAAGTGATCCTCCTGCCGTGGCCTCCGGATTAACACTACTGGCCTGGGCCACCACAACTGACTACTTTTTCTATTTTAGTAGAAAAAAGGGACTTGCTTTGCTCAGTCTGGTCTTGAACTCCTGAGCTCAAGCAATCCTCCTGCCTCAGCCTCCCAGAGTGCTAGGGTTATAGGCATGACCCACCATGCCAGTCCCTTGCAATTTTTCTTTTTCTTTTTCTTTTTTTTTGAGA